GGGGGGGTTACTTTTGATTTTGAAGATATTACTATATCTTGATACAACAACAACCTAGTATATTCCTAACTACATTGGGACCTGAGGGTCGAGATGTATGCAGTCTTACCCTGGGGTAAAGACAGAGAGGCTATTTTTATTTGACCGTAGATGCATTGTTTCAAGGCCGTAATGGTTTAGTCATTCATATGCCTCAAACTAAAATATTGTTAATAGCGATTCTTTTAGTCCATCAATTTTATTTACTTAATGTCATACCTTTAAAAAACAAGAGATAAAATGATAGATTAGTATAAACTCAGTGTCTTAAACATTGATTTATTACATCTCTTAAAAAACCACTACATATCCTTTTTGTTGTTGTGGAAGATACTGGATGCTAGACATGCGATAGAGGGTCTATCTAGCACCTGGTCTGCATAGGTGCTATGTAGAAATATGCTAAATATATTCAGGGCATTTTGTTTTTGTTTTTTATATGAATGTTGATATTTTTACAAATAAACTTCTCTATATATAAGTATTTCACATGATTTTATTGTTTTTCATGCTGAAAATCTAATTTATTATGAAAGTGGTTACAATTTATGTAGTATATGATCATAATGTGATCATAAGATAAAGTAACATGAATAAAAAAGCTACAAATTAGCGCTCAACTAGATAAGGAGTAGAGAGATATCATCAGATATTTCACAATCTATTTAGTACGTCTATTATTGACTTATAATTGCCTAATAAAGAGTATGTACAAGCATTTGAATAAAAATGTTATTCAAGCTATAAAATGAAATTTTAAAAATACAGTAGCACTCTTTTTTTAACTGATTTGTCTAAAATAGGGGCCGTTATGCACTGCCTAATCTGATTTTAAGAACAATGCTCTCTTCTCATCACCTCAATAGCCAATCAAAATTCAACTCCAAACCACATGCAGGGAAGTTACTCTTACGCATCCTTTCAAAATGACATGTTTTTGCAGGAAAGCACTGAACCTGCTCCATTACTTGCTGAAAGAGAATCACTCTGATTGCAACATTGCGAGCGAGCTTGGATTCCCCCGCATACTGGTGCATCTTGCCTCTAGTGAGGATGGGGGGGTGAGAGAGGGCGCACTTAAGGGCTTGCTTGAGCTGGCAAAAGAGAAAGCGGGGCAAACAAATGGTGCCTCTTTAAAAGTGGATAATGAGAAACTCAAACAATTACTGCAAGAAAGGATCAATGGGATCAGCATGATGTCCCCAGAAGATCTCGATTCTGCCAGAGAAGAAAGGCTCCTGGTGGATTCCCTTTGGAATGTCTGCTATAACGAGCCATCTTCCCTCCGAGAGAAGGGGTTGCTTGTTCTCCCCGGGGAAGATGACCCACCGCCAGATGTTGCCAGCAAGTATTTTGAACCACCACTCAGGGCTTGGGCAGCAAATAGGAATACTGATGATACAAAGGCTAGCACCAAAAAGGAGGACACTCCATTACTGCTTGGACCCGGTCCCCCTGTAGATGATGCTTCAACCTGAAGTAGTCCCAATTGAGCCATGGCTATCATATAAATCCTTCCACTGGAAGACTTCAGCGCGTGACATTATTTTCTTCTAGCCAGATACGGTAAAATGTAAAACCTATTCACAGAATATTATCAGTTTCTTGCATGGACTTGATAGTAATACTCTGATTTTTGGAATACATATCAGTGATTCTATTAATGTTGAATGACGTACAGACAGTGAATGGAGTACATGCTTACATATAACAAGTGATTAAAAAAAAGAAGCTCCCATCTGAGAACTACAATGAATTCCCAGTCCCTGGCTCATGAGGGAGGACAAAAGACGATCAAATATCTAGAAGCCCTACATTTGTTGAGACTAATGGAATCATCAAATGCGTAGCTATAAGCTCTGGGGCAGATGGCCTTGAACAGGTGGGCAAAGAGCGTGGGCTTGCAGGTGTTGGGGTTTGAGTACTGCCCGGTGCAGCAGTACTTGGGCGACTGCATTGCCAGGCAGGCACTCTTGCACCCCACCACTTTCCCTCCCACCCGCACTTCTAGTGCGGATGGGCAGCATATGTTGAGATCAACCTCACACGAAGCCACCCCGCACCCCACCCCTCCCCCGACCGGCTTCATCGAGACCGGCAAGTTGAACCCGTCCACTAGGCTGACGTCGTAGAAGTGCAGGGGAGATGAGGAGGTGCCGAGGGTCATTTCCACCACCGTGGCTGGCGGCACGCCGCCCGTCCCCTGGCAGTGCAACTGGCCGTTGCAGTCGCCGGTGTGGCAAGAGCCTTTCCCCTCATTGTCAAAGACGCAGTTCTGGCGCCCCCATATCCTCCCCGACCACTTCTCCGGCACTTCCACCACCGCCTCCTCTGCGCTGCTCAGGTGGAAGCCTCCGTCTTTCGGGGTATGTTGCCCTGCTCCTCCAAGAATTCCTGGCCAAATGCTCTCATTGCAGTTGTTCACTAGTATGAGTTGGATCCCATCTGCAAACCCCAAAAAAAAACAAGAAAAAATAAGCAAAAGTGGCGGAGTGTTGTTATTTCAATGTAGGGTAAGGCAATAGAGCATAAATTTACTTGTTTTAACAAGAAGGAACAATATCCAGAACAAATTGAACATAAAATGGGAATATATCATCATATCTTTCTTCTTCTCCTAATTTAGTGAAAAGCTTAGGAGTATTATATTGCTTGACATCCTTTGGTGGGTGGTGATTAGAACTCTTATATATGGTGTTAAAGTAGAAACTAGTGGAAATAAAGAACAATATATATTCTCTTCACTGTTTTTTTCTTTAATTTGTTTTCATTTATTGGCTTTTGCTTTAAGTGATACTCCGTACAAAAAAAGGCATATGTGCATTGCTTGGCCTAGGAGGCTTGTGCAACTACTATGTGATACTCGAAGTGCAGCTCGAGAGAGTGAGAGTGAGAGTGAGAGTGATGGTGTGTAGTAAAAGTGTAAAAACCCACTTAATTAAAATGCACATAAGAAAATTCACAATGCTAAATTGCTAAAGGAAAAGTATAGGGAAAAAATGTTAAAGACTTGGGGCATCTGCTTTAATCGGTATGCAAATTAAAGCTAAAGCATTGTGGATATGGGAGCTTTAGATAGAGAGATATGAGTATATAACTAGAAAAGTCTTAAACAAATCAAATCCATAAGTAATGTGGTTTGGAACTTTTGTCAATGTGACTTATATTCCACGTACCCAATGTTGGAAATCTTGTGAAGAAGACTTGATAAATTTTGGTTGAAAACACTTTAAGATTAATGTTATTAGTTCAGGAAACATATACCAAAATACATCAATCGGATAACATATAAATATGTAGAACAAGTATATATGGATGTTCCATTATGTTTACATATCGCAAAACCTCGCTATATATAGAAGAAAAATGATCAAATTTGTGTCTATATACTGAGTAAAACAAAATGATCGTTCATAGTACATTGGAATGTAAGACTAATATATTCAAATGTGTGACAGTGCTTTAATGCAAATCATCACGACTGCGGTTTTGCTTGAATCGTCATCTCTGATGAAAAATATTTTAATGCTTCACCTACACTTTTGAGTGTAGGGCAAACACTCAAATATGACATTTGTACATTTGAACATACACACATTTTCTCAAAGGCCGCAGGTGGTTAGCATTACTATCCAATGTACTATGCATTATTTTTATTTATAAATATGAATGTAGCTTATTTTGGACTCTATTTATGAAAATTCTTCTAGATTTTCATAAAACAACAATTGTCAACCCCATGACAATATTCTGGTAATGTCCTTGTAGCTCATCCGAGGGGATCCTTCAAGTCTACTCGTCGATCCAAAGAGAAGGGTGAAACTAGTTCCTGCATTTCTAGACCAAAGGACTATCAAAGTCTGACGAGGAAAGGTCGAGCTCCAACGATCATGACATGTCTTTTGGGAGCGAGGGTGTCAATATCTTGGGTGCCCCCTCAGATGATCTCCCTCACGATCAACTCTTGATGAATTTGGTGAAGAACTAATTGTTCTCCATGTCCGAATACTATGTCCGCCAAGTGCACCAAGGCCTCCGCAATGTCGGTTTTAGGTCATCACTCGAGCCAAGAAGCCTTCCGTTAGTTTGGGGATGATCTCATCATGGTCCATTATGATTCACTTTAGGCCAGCGCGTGTTTCTCCCTCCATCCCTTCCAGGTCACCTCGTTAAATGACTAGGAGCATTCTCCCAACAATCTCAGGTTATACAAGCTTTTATCATTAGCTGCCTAGAGATGATTATCCATCTAACCTTGGATCTCTTCAGCTGATTCTTCCATGTGCAACATTATCTTAATCAGAGGTTCCTAAGCCTTTTTGCCCAATATGGATAGACCATCTTCATCTAAAAAAACACTTCCAACTAGAGTTGAAAAAGTAAATTTTTCTAACTGCATATTGTTGGAAAACGAAGATTGGATAACGTAGCGGATATTAAAATTAAAGGTCCAAATCCCGATTCTACCCAAGGTCAACTTAGAAAAATTGATTAAAAATAATTAATTAATCATTGAGATGGACTTGTAGTTAATTATAAATATATGTTTATTAATGATAAAAACTATACCATTGTGTAGAGTTTAGCGAGATGAATCCAACAGTATCAAAATTTGGAGCAAGTTTGGCTAAAAAGTGTATTTTGTCGAAATACATTAATTAATTATGGAGCACGAATACCTAGACTATTTAAATACACCCCAAGGTGTGCGTGCACATGTTACACAGCACAACTCACACCCCCACTCCCTTTTACCAATCTCACCATCGGAAAAACATAGAGAAAAGAAGAAGAAGAAGATGAGGAGGAGGAGGAGAGAAAGTCCAGCCCCGCCGCCGTTGCCCGTCGCCACCATAGTTCATCTGGTTTCTTTGTTTATTGTACTTTAATTCTTCGTCATTTGGAGGTGAGTATGTGGACATTTAACGCTATTGTAATCATCTAGGTTTGAAATTTACGTTCGTAATTCTTATGTTGATTGAATTGCATGAAAACTTGTATGATTTGTACATCTAAAATTCTAGGGCATGTTGATGGAATCAAACAGGTAGGACGCGTGGATTAAGCGTTAAATTGCTATTGAATGTGTATGTTGGTATTGGTATGCATATTGCTACTGTTTGAAGTGTATGATTGTGAAATTTGGGATCAAAGCTCCTTGTTTATCAGACCAGGATGCTTTCGCAAGTGACGATCGGTTGGTACCGCCTCCCGGTACCGTGCTATCCTATCCACTGACCTTCTTGTATATACAAAATTCATTCGAATTCCTTTCAAACCAAGCTCCAATGACGGTTTCATGAAAGCGGATGTTCCAACTTTGTGAGGCTTGCTTCAATTCATAGATTGATCGCTCCAACATGCATACATTGGCAAATTCTTCAAGAGCGTAAAACTCTTCAGGTTGTGTTATATAGACATCCTCAAGGAGTTTTCCATTAAGGAAAGCTATTTTGACATTCATTTGCCAGATCTCATAGTCATGGTATGCTGGGATAACAAGTAAGACCAGAATGGATTTAATCACGACAACAAGAGAAAAAAGTTAGTCATAGTCGATACCATGTATTTGATGATAACCTTTTAATATCAACTAATTTTTACCCCGTGCTTCGCACGGGCTCACATATTTCTCTATAAAATATATCTATATGTTAACATAGATATTTTAAGTTAACATTTTGGATGTTTGTTAAAAGTTCAATTCATATATGAACATAATATGAATTAAAATTTAATTTTATTTATTTTAATGTTTTAATAATAATATGATATGCATTAATAAAATAAATAATGTAATAAGATAAATTTTTTGAAACAAATCGTTTAATTAATAAATATGCATATGTGATAAAATTTATATAATCATTTTTTAAAAAGTAATAAACTAAAATAAGTTGTGGATAGTATAAAAATTATATATATATATATATATATATATAATATGGAGTATATTTTACAATGATGAAATATATATTTATAGAATTATTAAAAAATGAATAAGTTTTATGCAAATGGATTCAAAGATCTTTTTAAAAAATCAAAATGGACCAATGAATTAAAATGCATAAATCCACATCATTAGTGAGTGCACTGTGCACATGTGGATGCACATGTGGCAATGCACATGTCAACACTAAAACAATTGAACTCTCTTTTACATATATATATAGGATAGGATCTGCCTTGCAGGCTGTACGCCTGCACATTACCATCCATTTCAATCTTTTTCTTGAAGATCCATTTGCACCCAATGAGTTTGACCCCTTCAAGTGTATCAACCAAAGCCCTTACTTGGTTGACGTACATGAAATCCATTTCAGATTGCATGGCTTGACACCATTCCTTGATCTTTGGGCAATTGATTGCCTCAAGGTAGGTCTTCAGCTCACCCTGGTTGATGAGCATTACATTACCGTCAAAAGTCAGGAGGAATTCATACCTTCTAGGTTGTGTGCGTAACCGATTAGACCTATGGAGTTGTTCTGTATCTTGAGCCTTTTGAGATACAACGATTTGTTCCTATTGCTCATGTTTTTGAACTAGTGCAGTAGTTTCTTTCTCGTCTCAAATTTTTTCGAGCTCTATCTTTCTCCCACTAGTTGCACTGGAGAGAAATTCCTTCTCGAGGAAGACACCATTGCGAGCAACGAATACCTTCTTGTCGATAGGGTGATAAAATGAATACTCTCAAGTTCACCAGCACCAATGGACAAGGAGAAGATGTGTCGCAATGCTATCCACAAGAAGGGTGCTGATACGAAGAAGGCCTCTACCTCTGTCATGCCTTCAAATTTTAATTTAGTCTGAAATACATAGTAATTTAAATAAAATCCTTCAAAATTTAACTTAATCATATACATACGGTGCTAAAATACTCTTGCTTATAGATTCATTGTTTTAAAAAAAATTGAAAGGTAATGAAAACATTTTAAATTAAATTCATATGAGAAGGTCTAAAAAAGTATTTTTGATGGAAGAAGGTCAACAAAAATAATGTGGACCTTATACTCACCAAGAAAATATTAACTTTATACATAACAATGTAATCTGTAGTATTTGTTCATATGTACAAATATATAATGCAAATATTGAGACATTGATTAATATTCTTCTAAGTTAAACATGTGAAGATGGGTGATATTAGTAAAAATTATTTAATCATTAATTTTATTAAATGAAGAACTTATGAAGCGCATGACATAGAAAACATTTTAAGAAAACATCATAGGAAATTAAGAGATTAATGAGATTTACGATGGAATTCGATTTTTTTTTTGCAAATTGGGACATTGGATAATACGTTGAACAAACTCAAGCACTCAACAAAATTAATATTTTCTAATTTTAATCTTGTTTTAAAATAAATATGAATAGGTAGGGGTGAGTCAGGTGATGATTGAGAAAAAAGTCAACCTGTATCCAACACGATCCATCATCTATCATCATTCTATAATTCATTTTTTATTTATTGTATCGGATGATTTAGTTATACAACGGGTCAGATAGAAATCACAATTTATATTATACAATCGGATGTACCCAAAGTTGGATACAATTGGCCTTAAAACGAAACGGCGAAGACGAGCAATTGCGAAAAAGCAGGATTGTCGCTAGGAGAGCCTTAGGTGCGGATGGCGGAAAAGCTGGATTGCCGCAAGGCTATGGGGAAGAGCGGCAAGCCTACGTGCGGACGGGAGCGACGATTCAGGCACTATTCATTGGGAAGGAGTATGGAAACCCTAGGTCCAGTGATCATTGATGCCTCATGGAGATTTGCAGCAGTGACAACGATGAAGATGGCGAAGACTATGCTAATTGGAATAATGTAAGTTTAAATCTGAAGAGAATGAATAGTATGTTACTTGAGAATGAAAACTACGTTATTTGAGAACGAGCACCATTTTATTTCAGAATGAACACTATGTTATTTGTAAATAAATATTATAATTATATTAAACAAATATGTGAAAATAAATAGTATGCTATGTTATTTTCTTTTCAAAACCACAATCCAGTACTACCATGGAAATAATCATCAACCATCTCTTCAGACTACTCCAATATCATAGTCAGGCGACTCCTGCAAATTATTTAGACGAAGAAGCCCAGCCAAATCGATAAACCCTTTAATTTGTCTTCCCTGAATTCAAGGGGACTACAAAGTACAAAGAGGTACCCGGCAGCTGCTCCATGATTAAGGTCGCGGACAAGCTCCTGCGAGCCAAGAGGCTCGGATTTGCATCCGCTTTTCTCCGGCCACCAGCCTTAGCGGCGCCACCACCATTTAGAGCATTCTCGAATAAAAGCGGCCTTGACGTCTCTTTAAATGTCAACCCAATTGCCCTTCAGATGACGAATTACGCGCTCTCTTTAGCCCGTTCACAAATGTCAGGTCATTTTCACCATCATACAACTATTTTTTCCTTTCAGCAGGTGTTCTTAATGTGAAAGTGAAAAATACCCCGTATCAGATTTTGAAAATTTTTCTTTTATGTAATCATGTAAATACAGATGATGCTTATGCCCAAGCTCAGTTGGTTTTGGAGCAGTGTTATTCTATTCACTCTGATAAAAGTGCTAGAGGAGTGGTTTTACTCGCGATGGCTAGACTGCTATACCATAGGTTTTGGCTTAATTTTATGATGAAACTTCTCTGATAATTCTCATTTTGCAATAATTTTGTAGCTGATCTTCATTATCTTTCCATATTGCTCTTCTCCCCTAATGACAATCAGGGGAAACTATGAAGATGCCATTGAGAAGCTTCAGAAAATTCAAGATTCAAGCTTGTCTTCAATTATTGTCAGAGGTATAGATTCCTCGTATTATTTGAATGGCTAAGTTACCGACTTAAGGAGCCATTTTTTACTTTTTTCGTTATTCACTGTTGTGATCTACAACTTTGTTGTTGATAGCTGCTTATGGCCATTGTTGTAGTTGCTGCCGCAGAGGCACTTGTTGGACTTCATTTAGAACTGGGACAAGTAATCCACTATGAAACTAGTCATCATCACTTAACTTTTTTGGTTGAATGCATTTTGATTTTTATGAACGTTACTGTTTTGTTTTGTTTTGTCTTTTTTTTTCCGGTGCAGGATGCTGCTGCTACAGCAGCTGCAGATATGTGCTTGCAGTTCTTGGAATCCATGAAGTTAGATATTGAATGTGAAGGCTTTGAGGTCTTGGGAGATCATTCAAAGGCATTTAAAGGGCTTGTTGAATTGATACGCGGCAATTCTGAATCGGGTTAGTAAAATTTTTTCCTAGGCTCTGTTTATTTTCTCGAGTGTTTCTCATTTCTCTAAAGTAGTGAATATGTGTTTCATATCAGCAATGTCTTACTTCCCAAAAGTTCTAGACGAAGGCTGTTCTTCCATTGTGATGGGTCGATGTACTGGTAATGCTGCATTAACATACGGTGAATTCCTTCACCACATGCGGGATTTTGAAATGGCCAAAAAAATGTACACTAAAGTGATTGGTGAGGAGGAATCACCGGGCATGGAGTACAATAATTTACATCAGTTATTGGCTTGTAATATGAGCTATGAGGATACTATATTAGGAGCTACTTGTGCTTTAGGACAGCTAGAGGCTCATTTGGGGTAATAAGCTTATTATATAGTCGGTATATGGATTTCAAGTGTAATTATTAAATATACTCCATTCTGATCTCTGCGCTGTATTACTAAAACTGTAGGAACTTTGACAATGCTGAGAAGATGCTAACTGCAGCACTTAAGAAAGCTGAGCAAACCTTTGGTTCAAATCTCCCCTTTTATAGTTGCCTTTTTTGACACATGAACGTTACTCCCATTTAGCTATTCTCGTTTACTTTATCTGGCGCAGGTGATCGACATCACAAAGTTGGTGTTATTTTAACCTGCATAGCTCTCTTGTATAGGCACAAAGCAACAGTCGAGCAATCGACCTCTCTTTTAATTCAAGAGGTTAGAGCCATGTAAATAAGTTCTACAACAATTTCCTTTTGATATACAGTGCATTCAAACGTACACTCAACAATTTGATGCAGTAACTAGTTTTGTTGGCTGAACCTGCTTCCTTTATATTTGGCTTCCTTTATATGTTGTCTAGGGACTTTACAGAAGAGCAGTTGAAGTGTTTAAAGCTCCTCCTCTGGAGTTTGAAGGTCTGACATACAGAGAAGTCTTGCTTTCTCATATGACCTCTCATGAATTTTTACTAGCGCATCTACTTGGTTTTTTGATGAGTTCATTTATAATTTGTCCCAATAACAAGATCCACCAAAAGCCTAATCTTGAATTGTGTTACTGGGTTGCTTACAGGTGCTGAAGAGAAGGCTTGCAGAAGAGATTTAATTGCCCTAGTGAGAGGTGCTTACTTCTCTAATATGTTTGAGCTTCCATGCTCTTGAAATTGATAATTTTGTTACATCAAGTTTGAGAGAGTTCAGTTTTTTCTCAATATACTCTTAACCACAAGCCGGACATTATATTTCCATAGACTCATTTGATCGCGTTGGGCAGGTGGTTATGCAGAAATATTGTGTCTACAACAGAACAGAAAAGCTGAAGGGGAGAGGATGAAGCTATGGGCTGAATCTGCTTGGAGAAACCGCACGTTATCCCTCGCAGAGGCACTCGAACCACCTTCAAAGACTTCTTCCAAAGTGGCTGTTATCGATACCAGAGTATGCAGGATCATATAATTTCTCCCCTCTTCCTGCACTGTTTGTCTCTCCCTCTTTAACTACGAGTGCAAAACTGTGTGTTTGTATGTGTGCACACGCTAAGTAAGTTAATGAGTAGCTTGCAACACAACTGAAGGAGAGAATAAATATCTGAATGACATTGCTTTTATGAAATTACACATGCGAATAGAGTCAACCAAAATCAAAGTGTGCTTTTACAAGGGCTTGAATGAGAACACTCCCAACACTCCTTCAGAGGGGAAGATCGAGGCCTTTTCCAACATTGACCCCAGCAATCTCAAGTACTCCCTTATTCATGATCTGAAAAAAAAAGAAGATAATGCACACACATTACAAAACAACTCTTTATTTTCAGAATACATCTTGACGACCCCCAAACCGCAATAGCTTTGGAATGATACTACTCCTTCCATCCCTAAATAATCATACTTTCTCTTTTTGGACGTCTCAAAATAATCTTCTACTATGTGGCAAAAAAATTCCCTCTCCTCTCGTCAAATTATAACCACTCCTTTTTTTCACTTTTCGACACATTTCTTAAAAACATTGAAAGTACTCATTAAGTGAAACGAGGAAAAAGTAAAGGAATGGGGGGAGTAGTTTATTGTAGTACTAGTAGTATGTTTTGTAATGCTGTAGTCTAAAAGAATCAGGGACTGACCAGTTCTAGAATGAAAACCCCAATGAGACCAATCATACAAGCTCTAGAGTTCCATATTTCAGCTGTTCTTGTGAAACCAAGAAATGTGGGCTTTAGTTTTGGCTTATCCTTGGGAAATTCCACCTGCCACAAATTGTGTAACCCATTAGAATTCTTCTTTTTTTCCCTTCAAGATATAGTCAATTTAATGTTTGGGGAAATTAAAAAAGAGAAGAAACTCTAGAGAGAGAGAGAGAGAGAGAGAGGGACCCCAGCAGGAGGGTTTGCAGCATGGACAATGAAGGAGATGGGTTTCCTTGAAAGTTTGGAGGTTTGAATGTGATTGCTGGGGAAAAGGCTTTGTTGTTGACCGGTGACTGGAAGTGTTGTTGAGAAGGAAGATGATGAGAATGGCAAAAGAGTCGCTGCCATTTCCGTCCAGTGCTGCTCTGGCGGTCGCCCCTCCTTTTCTTTGTGTGTTTAGTGCGCCTGTGTGTGTGGTTAGGATAGGATTTCAGAGGATTGAATTTATAAGGTTCAGATTTGTGGATTGCGTGCCAAGGTAAGTGGACTTGTTGGAGTGGACTGCAGATAACAATTTTAAAAGGTGACTTTAGAAAATACTACTTCCCTCTCTTAAAAAAACTTTCCATTTTCCCTTTTAAAGAATTTAAGAGTAGTGTATTTTGGTGTTAATTTTCTAAAAATGCTCCTTGATGTGATGGATAAAGTAGGATGAGATGGGTAGATTAATAGAGAAAAAATGTGATGTAATAGGTATGTTTAAAAATTAATAGGGGTAAAAATAATTTTTTAATAGGAAAAAAGAAGTATTTTTTGGGACGGGTGAAAAAGGAAAGAGGAAAGATTTTGTGAGACAGAAAGAGTATGATATTTTTATTTGACTTTTTACGGTTTTGAATGTAACCTTTTGACCATTAATATCTTTATTTTAAATTGCCTCTTCGAAATTGATTTTATTTTACAAATGGCTAACAAATAAAAAACAAGTTACATATTTAAGAGCTACATTAAAATTTTTACAAAACTAGCAGCAACAATAATATTTTTTATAACAAATAGACCATGAAAAAGGTTACACAAACAAAAGTAATTGGAAGCACGAAAAAAATAAAGACAATTTTTGTAGGACTAAGGAGTATATTTATAAATTAAAAAAATTCCATTTAGAAATTATATATCAAAATGAATCTATTAATTTTAAATTTATTTCACAGTATAATATTTTTTTACCAAATTCGTGGTTTTGAATTTAACTTTTAGGGGTAATTTGGTTGGAGGGAAAGGGAGTGGAAGGGAGGGAATCACAATCCCTTCCCTTGGACGAAATCTCCTTCTCTCCTACATTCTCTTATTCTTCTGTCAACTTTTTTCTCCTTGTCAATAAAAAAATACACAATAAAATAGAACAAACAAATAAAACTAAAATTAATAAATAATAGTAATAATTAATAAATAGTACCAAAACAAATAAATAAACTATTAGAAAATAAAAAAATCATTATAAAATGACAAAAAAACAAAAAATGTATAATAATAAAATAAATAAATAAAATAATAAATTATAATTAAAATAATAATAATAATAAAGAAGTAAATATTAAAAAAATTAAATTCAAACAAAACTATAAATAATTAAAATGGGATAATGCTAGGGACACTCCAAAATGGAGTATTCTATTTGTACACCAGATAAACAAAGACAATCATAGACACTTAGTGTATGAGATACACAGAAACTAAGTGCTTGTGTTAGACTGTAGTGTACAAATGTGATACCTCATTTTGGTGTATACCTAGGTTTATTCTAAAAAAAATAACATAAGCAAAAACATTATAAAATAAGAAGTTAAAATTGATACTATTAATAATAATAAATAAATAATTATAATAATAAAATGTATTAATCAATGCATAATGAAAATTCATGGTAATAAGTAATAAATAAAATAATATATATACGTTATACATACATGTGTCTATATATATATATATATACTTAATTAAATTTAAGGAAAGAAATTAAATAAGATAATAAAAATTAAATTTATATAGAGAATAAAATAAAAAAACTTACAGTAATTTTTTTAAATAGAAAAAAAATTTAAAAATGAAAAAAATAAATACTCCGTAATATATTAAAAACATAACATTATCTTCCCCTCCTTCCCTTCGAGTTCACTCCCATCCATTCCTTCCCCTTCCTCCCTACATACCCTTAGAAAATGAAAACTGTTTAATTTTGTTCCGTTCAATATCCATAAAAATTAATATTCTGAAAAATAAAAGCCCGCCAAGTAGGCAAGTGCAAGGAAAAGATACGTATTCGTTAGCGATGGAATTGAAATCCACCCGAAAAGTAAAATTCGAGATCTCTCCCTCATTTTGCTTTCCCCGATAAGTTAATTCGATTGATTATGCATTTTCTAACTTCCCAAACGCTAGGAAATGGGGAAAATGACCCCGCTGTACAAAATGGTACTCGATTATTCACTATCCTTTTTTTATTACTTATATTCATTTAACAAAATGTTGAACACAAATTTTATTTATGGTATGTTTGGATACATGAATTTGGATTTCAAATCTGGATTTGGCTTAAATTCCATGTTTGGGAAACTTAAACATTTTAATTTTTAATCAAATTCTTTACATTCAAAACAAAGCTTAATTTGAAATACATGTAACCCCTTGTCATTTGAAATTCAGAATTTCAAATTTTAGAATTGAAATGAAATGTTAGTTGCCAAACAATATCTTACAAGTTTGTATACAGAATACTTTGTTTATATTTTCTTATAGTTATTTTGAAAACAAATCGTGTAAATAAATTTGCAACTTTATTCATTATACAAAATCTTTTTCCAGTTAGTTACACACACTACCGTTGTATGGACTCTATACCTTGATCACACATACAATTATGTGTTTACAATCATCAATTATAACATAAATATAATTACACTCCCATTATATACAAATAGTATACACACTTTATTTATACACATCCTAATTCCCTAAAATGCTTGGCACTATATGTATATACCATGTACTTTGATCCAGCCTATCCCATTTAATTAAATAAATCCCTGCATTACCCTTAATAAATTCCACTTAATTCCTCCTCTTGAGGATCAAACTTGCAGGAGGCGCTGGGCAAAGGGTATCCCTCTTCCTTTTCCTAATACTACTACTACTACTACTTCTCCTACTGCTAGAAGCTTCCCCATCATGCATTGTTCTCCGACACTGCTCCCCTCTCACCCCGACTGCGTCTTTGCTCGTAGGTCGACGCAGTCGTCTTTCCTTCTCCATCATCTCATAACACTTTGCCAAATCATCCTACATGTCGCAACAGAATTATATTGATGAAAAACAGTTCATATATATGTACGATAATAAAAAAACAGCAGAAGGCAGCATATGATACTCTTCCATAATTCCATTCTTAAAAACACCCCCCCTTTCATTTTTTCTACTTTCAACAAAACACTTTCACTTTCTATTAAAACTCACTTTTACCTTTACTTTTTCATACCCTACATATCACATCATACTTTTTCTATACATCACATCTTACTTTTAACCATTACATCAGGGGCAAAATTTTGGAAGTCAACTATAATTTAACACTTCCTTATTTTGGCTTCAAGTCAAACTAGGAGAGGGAGTATATATTATACCTTCTGATCTTGAGGAATCTGAGCAGTGAATTGGTAGAGACGACAGTGAGGGGGGAGAAAGTCTTCTCCCATGAAGATGCAATGAAGTGCAGCTTCGGCCACAAAACTTGGCCGAAACTCCACAAACTTAGGATCTGATGGATGGTAAGCATCGCAAATAAATAAATGAACGACAACATAATTAGTAATTTCCAAGAAAGGGCGGCAGAAGAATTGAAGAAATCAATTAAATCCCGAGGGAGGGGCGGATTGCGCACCTACCTAAAAGCAGCGACTGGAGGAGGAGGAGCATGTCGTCGTCGTCCTCGGTAAAAAAGTTCAAAGGAGTGGGGGTAGTGTCACCGCATTGTTGTTCCATGAAGAGTTGGAGGTAAGAGTAAGGAGTTGTGGAGTGCAGTTTCCATCCCAGTGTTCTTAGTACCCTCAACTCCATCCCTCTCATCTCATCATCATCTGCTGCTGATGATGATCCAGCAAATTGTTGCTCCCCATCCCCCTCCTTCCGTACCTACACAATAATTTTATTTACTCGATCTCTCCATCGTCCCAAATTAAATTGTTGCAGCATTACTATTCATTCATATTTGGTCAAACATTATTCATCTTCTTCACTGATTTTCAAGATATTCGATTGACAAAAAAAAACATAGTCATGTCATTTCATTTTTATAGAAAGAATATATTTTTTGACTATATGATCTATATTCTTGAATTAATTGTTTAAGATATATACTAGTGATGGATATGTGATGCATGCACGATGATAAAGCCAGCCAAATTAAGGGTAAACCTGAAGAATTGCATGGAGGGAAGGGGGATCGGTATCGTTGAACTTGGAGGCGACGTACAAGCATGCTTTTGCTAGCAAATCAAACGTACGACACTCCCATCCCTATACATACATGATGCTTTCTATTGTCAATAATGAGTTACCTAGCGTGGAAGATTTATAAGTTTTTAAAAAGAGAAATTTACCTAAATAAGACTAAAACATAATGATTTTTCTCAATGTAGGACTTTTGGTCATTATCAAGTAGTCATTATTTAAGTAAATGTCCATCATTACTGGACATGATTCCTCCCACAAGGTCATTATTAAGTCCTATTTAATTAGAGAATAAAAGAGTTTAAGTCCTACATTAAGAAAATCATTATGTTTTAGTCCTATTTAGTACAAATTTCGCACATGTATTATGTTTGATGAAATGCGTACTTTACAATTTCTGGTTGATATGAAGCGGTCAATGTAATTAGCTGCACAAAATACACTTTCTAACGAGATATTCAGCCGCCTTCTACACTGCATACGCATCCAAAATATATATTATACTCCGTATATTACTTACAAACAAAACCAACGAAATTCAATTCAATTCAAACAAAACTTCAGACGATACACTTACTCAGTATACATCTTTCATATAAACAAGCGCGAACATATAAAACAATGAACTAATATATTACTACCTCCGTCCCAGAGTATTTGTTCACTTTCATTTTTACACATCATCCAATGCACTTCTTTAATCCATTTTATCTTGTAATTTGTATATTAAAAAATTATACTAGAAATTATATATTAATAATCTATATGTTAAGACAAATCAAACAAGATCACACATGACTATATTGAGAGAATTTTGATGAGTCAAAGTGCTTATATATGAACAGTTCCAAAAGTCAAAAGTGAACAAATATAGCGGGACGGAAGGAGTATATACCTCAATCATCCAGGAAATGGCGTTAAACCTGGCATTGTAAACCAGTGGGTTGGATTCAAGGTACTCGACATAGCCCGGCTGGGGCATGTGGTTCCTCTCCTTGCACACCAGATTTCGCACCGACTCCTCGAAATCTTCTCTGGACGGCGGTGGCAGCACTGGTGTCACCACCACGCTACTGCCGGCCGTCCAGTCACTACTCCACCGCCGCCCTTGGGAATCATAATCATCATCCCAAGTGACATCTGGCGGAGGAGTAAAAACCAACACTTCGTCGCAAAGTAAGCTGTCGTCCATTTTCATTGTCGTCGTCCCTGGCTTAGCTTGTGGATATATATATATATATATATATATATATATATATATATATATATATATATATATATATATATATATCCAAAATGGAATGGAGTGAGTTATGTATGCCTTCCCCAAATTGTAGTAATCGATAATAACAGACACACACAAAGTTATTAAGGGTCGTCGTCTTGGATTGGAGGGACATGTAGGGGATCGAGGGATGCAGTGGCGGCTGTTCTTGAACCATCACGATGGATGGAAGTTGTAACTAACTGCAAAATGGCACTTGATTTTTTTTAACGCAATTTTATTTCGCCAAATGCCTTCTCGGAGAACCATAGGCTACATGGTCGAATTACCTGTTCCCGCCAAAAAAAAATGGCACTGTTCCAGCTACTATTTACACCAGGACCAGCCCATAGGGGGATGGGCAGCCGGACCGGACGGGGCCCATGAATTATTGGGGCCCAAAATTTTAAACATTAAATATATTTATGTAAGCCGAAAGCCTTGAGGCCCTAACCAGTACTCCATCCACGTACGACTGGCTTTGTCTCGCGTCCAGCTGTCCGATTCCAAAATTTCAAGCGTCTGATGACTTCCGGAGTTGTAGATTCGGCCGTCCTCTTGGGTCTCCAATCCAAATGGACGGACGACCAGGCTCCAGTAACAGTTGTGAAGATTGAGATTTCGGCCATTCACGCTAGCGTATCTCTCAGATTCCATCTAACCTTCTGCCTTCATCATCTCCAAGTTTTTGAGTAGTATATATGTTCTCGTTTCATCTCAATCTTTTATTAACATTGTTTTTAATGCGCATTTATTTGATTATTAATTATTTCTGTTTTGTTTGATATTCGCTAGAAAGAACACGCTTGTTTGTTTTTATTTTTTATTATTAATTTTTCAGGTGAAAAGCTTCATTATACTGTCAATTTTTTTTTTATAGCTATTTTGTAAATAAAGACAATATCTTTATGCTAATCACTTGTCTGGAAACTAACCCATCAAGGAGTATTGGATTGGATCTCATCCTTTTGCCTTCTTTATGATCCGTGATCCTCCACGTATGAGTGCACTTGCTTATATATGTAATGAAAGAGGATGTTAATCATGGACAAGGGGTGGACCCAGAACATTTATACCATGTCATTGCAATTTCAAAAATTTATACTCCCTCCGTCCCATAAAATCTTTCTCCTTTCTTTTTTATCTGTCCCACAAAACAATTCTCATTTCTATTAAAAAGTCATGGGACGGAGGGAGTACATAATTATCACGCTTCTAACAGTAAATAAACAGTATTCTGTAATACATAACATTAAAGTTACTTGATTCTTTCTTTTTAAATCTTGGTGCCTTTTTAAAATACCTTTGCATCCTATATTGAAATTTAAATAATTAAAAACATTATAAATTTAAAACATAAGTACATAAAGACCATAACTACATAACCTAATTATATTAACATATTCACAAATCACAATCTTACAAAATAAATCAACGAATTCAATTCCCTATTCTTCTATTCACAATAATAAATTTATAACAATTAATTAAAATTTTCACAATTTACAAATAAAAAAATCCAATTTAGATAATTAGATTCAATTGTGTAAGAGAAAAAACCTGGCAAAGAGAAGATTTGTTCGAGTAATTGGGGCCTTGGTGGTCGGCAGTCCGGGCAGAGGCTTGTAGTCGGCCCTCGGCGAGAGAGGATGGGTCAGTCTCATCTTCTGATTTTGCAATTAGGTCTGGGAAAGTGCGGAAGTGGGATGGGTGGAACTATAGGTTTAAGAGAAAATCGGAAGAAAAAAAAGAAACAAAACAACACTATTTTAGATATCAATCTTCCAAAAGATAATTTGTATAGTCACCCTACAGCTAGATTTGAACACAAGACCACCCACCTGAATGAAAACCACGGATCTTTCCACTCCTTCAGCACTTGCACGTTGAAACTCATAGCGTTTTGTAGAATATATACTAAATCTAGTTATACACTATATATATATATATATATATATATATATATATATATATATATATTGGTTCTAGTGAGAATGAGATCTTAGGAGAGAAATAAGAATAGATCTGGGGCGTTGGATGGAATACTCTAGCCGTTTCTTTTGTTTCAATTACCGTGGGTATTCTTGTATTTTCCACTTTTCTGATTCTCTCTCTCTCTCGTTAATTAGCGTCAATCGTTTCCGCAGGATCAGGCAGTTTCCATCTTCTTCTCTTGTCTAATTCTTCCTATTAATATCTACGATTTTCTTCAATCTTTTGTCATTAATAAAATTAATTTCTTTAATCTTTCCATTTTAATTGTTTAGATGAGAAATTTCATGAATTCTTTTACCTTCCTGGTTTAATTCTTGTTGGCGATCCAGATTGCATGGTATGGATGAGGCAGAGCTTGGCACGAGAACAATGATTACAGTCAAATTAGTGTAAACTATTTCCAAAATAATAGTTGTTTTGGATTCATTTGGTGATTCCCTTGAATCATGTTTATTCAAAGAATGATAAACTTTTATCAGATTGCAGGGTATGAATGGATCTTGAATTCTTTTGATGATTCCCTTTGAACGATAAATTTTTAGTTTTTGCATTGGTAAGGAACTGCATAGCAATGAATTTACTGGAATCTTATTTTTTAAATGTCATTCACCAATTTGTTTCTCTTTTTTGCAGTTTCAGGATGCACTGGATTATGAACCGAAATGCATCATAGATGATCAAGACCCGACATCTGCATCGCAATTACCAAGGTATTTGCTCACTCTATCTTAATTGAATTCTCCAAATGGTTTCAAATATTTGTCTGTATTCTAATTTGAATTTACTTTTGATTGATATTTAGAGTCATCCTTTATTTCCCCTAAAAAAATTGATAAAGTAATAGTTCATCTAAGAATGCTCACAACTTTGATACCCCATATAATCCATGTATATGTACTTTCTTTTTTTTAATATTCTTTTTATCTTTCATAATTCATATATCGATGGCAAATGAGGTCACACCTATTGCGCACAGATTACTAGAGTGTATATGCACTGATTGGTAAGTACTTATAGTGCACCACCAAGCATACCATATGTACCATAGTATGTATGGATTAGCAATAGTATGTGATTAGTACTCCATATAAAATTCATGTATACAAGATACACAACATTTACAGAGAGATTCTTTGTTAAACAAGCAGTCTCAGTGCTAATTATTCATAGTTCTTTGTGTAGAAGTACATTTTATGCAATCGTGGGGGTCTTAAGAATGTGTTTTATTACCGCTTTTTTCCATTTTGGAATTGATGCTATGTGGCAATTGATGCTATCTAAGTGTGTTTTATATGATGTTTCATTTACGAGTTGTAAGTAATAGAATTGATGCTCTTTAGAGTAAATAACACCTTTTTATTTTTATATATAAATCAATTTAAGTTGTTTTTGTCTATTAGCTCAAATGGTAGAGCAATATGCACTTGCATATAAATGTGGGTTTGAATCCCGCATAGGCAAATATTCAATTGCTTAATTTATGCAGTGTCACTACTTTGCTATTATATATTTTGTAAAATACATTTTGAGAAGCCTCTTATTGCAAAATACACTCTTACAATATTATTTTGAGCAAAGCTAGTACAGGAGAAACCAAATATTGTTGCATCCAGCACCACCAGGCCGGAAATGCTAGATAGAAGCTTCAGAGTGCAATATATAAATATGAAATGCAATCATGTTCATATGCATGCGTCACCATCTAGTACAAAAAGCAAATATGCTCTCAAATAATTCTACCAGCTCGTGTTTAAATATTGCTCCAGGTATAAGTTGAAGTGCAACTCTGAAGTGTTTAAATGCACTGCATGCTAAGATCTTGAATTTATTCGATAACACAAATATCAATATGCATTGCAAAAAAAACCTCAAATTAGGCACATTAAATTAACGTAACGGTTAAAGTATCACTGGTTTTCACCCCTTTGATAGAACAAAAAAACCTTAACAAAAGAGTTGTTTATCTTGTAGATTAAAAAATATTAATTGGGATTACAATCAAAATGTACTATGCATAATGTAAAAATGCTATTCAAATACTCATAGATGCACTAATAACCAGATCGATTAAGTGCTCTTTATTTAGATTTGTGTGAATACACTTTTAACAAATATCCCAAAATATTCATAAGTCCTACTACCCCAATCTTCTTTGGCTGAAGCATGACATAACCGAAGCACATCACAAGGTAGAAACAAACACACACACTATCGTATCTGTTCAAAGGAAAATGAAGGAACCCAACTCTTTGTCATCCTCATTACTGCACTCTTATTATATGCTGCATCTTCATCTGCTTCCTCCTCTCCATCTTCACAACTTTCATTTTCATCATCTTCATCAACCTCGTCCTCAACATCTATGTGGCTTTCGGAATCTCCAACAACCATGTCGTCATCAACTGTGTTGTTTTCATTTTTCCCCTACTCTATCATCATCTGCAACCTCTATATGCACACGTTAACTCTTTGGCCTATTTTTCAATTTAACATTTATCAACCTCCTGCTCTAGCATCTTGTTGGTGTTGATGCACTTGAATTTCCAGTTTTACTCCCCTTTACCACAACTCCCTTATTTATTTCTCCACCTTCTTTACCTGAATCAATTTCATTATTTCATTAAATCACCTCACACCATTCTCTGTTCTAATGCTTAAATAAAACAAGATTATGCATACACCAGTTTTCATATTCTCAATTCTAATGCTTAAATTTAAATACAACATCCATATGCAAACACTCATAAATCATCTCAAATTCATCAATAACATTTACATTACTTGAAATACAGGGTGCATTTCTGTACAATTATGCATCAATAATATCTACACAATGCACTAATACAGTTTCATAATGCATATACAGATATTCCCAATCACTTATTTACAAATTCCCCTCCAAAACACACCCCACAATAGCATACCATCCAAAATGTTACTAAACCATAATTTTTCTATAAAAACATGATTTCATAATAATTTAAGAGCTTGAGACCAGAAAATTAAACAGAAACAACACAGAAAATGTATCTACTTACAATATAACTACCCGATGTTGCATTGGAAGGCATCTAGAATGCATCCCCACCTAAGAAGACATTATAATACCCTCAGCATATCACAGAATTTACAAACTCTCTCACAATCGCAACATAACACACAGTGCATTCATATATACATTGCATAACAATACGATAATGCATCAATAACATGCACATAATGCATTCCTAGTATTTACAAAATGCATATAAAAGTAGTCTCACTAACAAACCCCAATTGCGTTTCTAAATTCCCATCCAATCGCATCAAAACCCTAATTTTGAGCAACTCTGATGCATTCCTACTTCAATTGAACAAAAAACCCTAAAAAATCCACATAAAGCATCTCATCACAATACCTAAAGATTAAATGAAACGAAAGACAAGCAAATGAATTGTTTCACAATAAACGAGTGTAAGTACCCCAAAGTGGCAGATGAACACTGTCTAAGCAAATTGAAAACCGGAACTCATACCTTTTCTTTTAGCCGGAACTTTAGCCCTTAGAACAACCTTCGGTGTTTCTACCTCCATTGCATCTCCACGCATTGCCATCTTCGTGTCTTTCGCTCTTTACTCTTGGATCGAAATATGGTGGTAGGCCTATTGCATTGCAGATTTGTCTCTGCACCTTCAATCTTGGTAACCGTGAAAGGAGGCTCCTTTACAAAAATGGTAACCGAGAAATGTGGGATGCGTATTTTTAATTCGTGCACGACACTCAATGCAACATAGAATGACAGATCTACCCTTCCAACTAATGTTTTCCTAAATTGATGCACTCTAATCATTACTATCCATATATACCTCACATC